TATTAATATACATCATGTTTACGAAATTAGAAGGATTAATTAAACAATTTCGTAGTTTTGAATACTATATATTAAGTTTTCCAAACACGTTGTGTAATGTAAATCCAGCGGTACACGATACTAATTTCTCTACTGGATTGCTTGCGAGAGCCAATTAGGACTCAAGTCACCTGATGTAAAACTCTGCATCGTTATTGGCTCTTGCAAGAAATCCAGTAGGCAAAATAGTAATCGTGCCGTTGGTTAAATGATAATTTGAGAGAAAATTATTCGAGAAATTTTCTAGACGCTATAATCCGTGCCGTATATTATTGGAGCAATATATATTATTCATATTATATAACTATTTAAGTCCCTAAGTACCCACTGATGTGCCTTTACGATGTAGTGTCGAGAATAACATTAAACTTTTTATCACGAAGTTACTGTTCTGTATTTTACACAGCTACGGAACACTCGTGCAACTTCGTAGCTTGCGATTGTTTCGGCGAGATGTGTAAAAAAGTATAATTTGCATGTAAATGGATGCACCTCTTCGGTGTGCACAGTATCATAACATTCGACAAAAATTAATGATTATTCAGAAGTTGTCGGATCGTAACAGTCGTCGAAGACTATGAATGCATTGACTACGACGCGCATCTTGATACGCGACTATTTCTGTACATCGCTATAATTTTCTATGTAATTGTTGACGTAGGCATGAAACACGCTGGGTATAAAACAGGCAAGTTGAACACGGTGCATGTATCATTTTGACTAGTGTATTTAATGATATCATACAGAATAAGTTTATATTACGAGTATTATTTAATCGATAGCTTGCATAATTTTACGCGATGGTCTTCGTAGGTCTGCAGCGACAATACCTGAAGCTATAACGAATCCGTATAATGTATCTTCAACACTCTTTGCGTTAGCATCGTTTGATTAAAATCGCGGTTCGAGTAACGTTTTAATTTTCTCTTCTTTCTCGATTTTAACTCTAGAGAGATCATTTTCCGGAGTTTGCGGACCAACGAGACTGTTCGGGCGCAACTATTATTGTACAGAACTATTATTCTAATTGTCAAATCTCTGTATGAGCATTCTGTGCAACGACGTCGAGAAATCTCGCGGCGAATGTCTAGGGATTGTTTTTTTAACAAGGAACACACAAATTTTGACTTTACCGTGTCCCTTTTCTGGATTACTGGGATATTTGACGCACGGAATGCTCATATATATAATTTCACGTCATCTAAATCTAAAATAAATATTTCAGGCGAATGCCTGCACGAGTAACGGGCCTCTTCCTTTCACAGGACGTGCTCTACACTCATCTTAACATCTAATAATCTCCGTGTATGGCAAATAAAAGGGAAGTTGGAGCGTTCAGCGTGTTAGCTTCCGCTTGTAAGACAGCCAGTGTAAGTACAGGGGTGTGCCCCGCGTTTCCTTTCATATTACGGTTTGTCGAGTCGATTTGCAGGAAGGAGGAACCGCAAGTGGAAGGAAGCGCGAGAAACGCGCGAGGATCGAGACGTCACCCCGAAATAGCCCGCGAGCATGCAATCGGCGGGCGTGAGGGAGCAAAACGAGCAAATCGTTCAGCATTAAAGCACTAGAGTTTTATAGTGCATTAATTAGTCTGCGATGAGGAACGAGATACAAAGGTTTACAACGTTGTAAATGCAAAAGGGTAGAGGTAGGGGAGGCGTTGGGGGAGGCCCTACCGGCCGCTCGGTAACACCGCTATTTAATTTCCTTCTCTCTCTCTTTTTTTTCTCCTTTTTACGCGAGCGACGTATCGTCGTATTTTACAAGGTATACACACGGCGTGTCCACGTATGACACCCTCAACCGAACCGTTTATGGCTTTACTGCGCTGCCACCGCGGCTTCTTACGTGTATATCTCCATCCCGCGTGCTTTACAGCCGTTTGTTTATTAGGCTTTCGTTTAATTGCGCCGCGTGTAACGGCATCGCGCGGCTATTTCGCGGCCGGGCTCTAAAGTGCGAACTACAATGGAGACATGGACGCATAATTGCCTTCTCTTCCGAGCGGGCTGCCAAAGACGCGCTTCGAGATTCAGCCGCCCGTGCAGGCTTCTCGAGCTCTGCTAGATTAAAACATTTCCGTCGTCCGCCGAGACTTTTATCGGACGTATATCGTGTTTTCCTTCGCGTCGACGGTCATTACGTGGGCGCGGAGTTATGCCTCGACTCCCAGAGGTGGAATGTTACGAGTGTCGAATTTTATTGCGTGACGCGATCGCTTGAAAGCGCTGAATTTCTTGCGTTACGTTGGCATGGTAATTACCGGCGCGGTGAGACCGGCAACGTTAATTGATATTTCACCGCCAGCGATTCGCGATCGACTATTCAAGATAAATCAGTGAAAGTATTGGAAACTTCCCCCCTGAAATTTCCAAGTACTTCTTTTTCTCCTCCGCCGGTCTTAGCTAGTCGTACGCAATTACAGAGCTATAAGCGAAATCGCAGATTCACGAAGCAATTAACAGCCGTGTGCCGATCGCCAGGGAGAAACGGCGGTCGAGATTAGCAACGCGGAACGGGAGGAATGAAAATAATTTAATTATAAGTTATAACTTACTCGAGGATTATATGTACCTCACTACGTTATGCTTGACACTACGGTTTTTCGATTCTAATATTACATATGGCGCTATCTTCGCATCTTACTTGACAGAACAGCCGCGTTCTCCGTCCCTTTCCCTTTCGACGGAGGAATAAGAAGCTTGAAAAACCATCTGCTTCTGATCTCTTCTGTCAAACTCCTTACTTTCTAAATTAGACATCTAAGACATTCGCTACTCTCACTGTATCCGCAAGGGTTGCTCATCAGGTGCAAAGAAATTACTTTCAAGTACACGCGTCGACTCAATTCTCCACTACCTGGAATCCGTCGCTCGACTTTCATCAAATGCGTTTTATATCGTACAATTTTTCTTTGCACCCGTTAATACTACACACGTATCTACGGCCGACGGTGTACGCTCACACTGTATAACGTTCGCCCGAGCGAGAAGGCTTCACCGCTGATAAATCTCGATACAGTCCATACCTGACGTAGATAACGCAAGAGCAACGTGTGCTTGGCTCCAACAGCCTTTGGATGCTCGACGCGAGAGGCATCCTTAAACTTCCTTGCTCACGATGATGCCGCACGGTTGGACTACGCCGATGTTGGGCAATCTCGGCCTTCTGGACGTGGATTTGCTCTCGTCCTTCTTGAGCAGCTCCTCTATCGAGTAGGGATTCTTCTTCTTTTGCGGCTGCGGCGGCTGATTCTCCACCGCCGCTCCCTCATTCGTCGTCATCGTCGTACCTGGACTCGTGTTCTTCGCCTCGTGGATCCTGTGCGACGCCGGGGGATCTCGCTTCGACGTCTCGATGATGGATATCGGGCTCTCGCGCGGATTGTCCGAGTTCGCGGCGTGCGAATTGGGCGTGCCGTGCCTGACGAACGCGCTCCGATCGCTGCCGATTTTCTGGCTGAGCTCCAGGATAATCGGCGTGCTCCGAAAGGACTTGTAGTGGTCCTGCGACTCGACCAGGTTCTCGTCCAGGTCGCTCTTGTCCAGCGAATCGTCGCTGCCGGCCGTCGAGCTCGAGCTCGACTTCAGCTCCAACTGGTTCTGTGCGCCGTTTTGCTCCGACAAACGTTCGGCATCTAAAGGTCTGCGGAAACGAAGTGGTAAGTGTATTTGACCGCGGGGGGGATACGTCTATAGAAAAAATTATTTGTTGAATCAATTCTCGCCGTGGTATATAAACTTACGCGAAGGATTGCATTCCGTGCTGCAAGTGCAAGGTCGTCGCTTGATAGAGGGACGAGTAGAAGCTCTGATTCCACGTCGGTGTGCCGGCGTTGCCGGTGCTCGTGGAAATGTGCAACGGTCCTAGGGCGCCCGGATAGAACAGCTGATAATCCGTTCTCATGAGTGCGTCTACGAGAAAACAGTTGCAACTGTTATTGCGATAATTACCACGTTGCTTCGCAGCCACTTAAAAAAATCTCTCTTAAAAAATACGGAATTACATTTAGCAACTATGCGGGCATATGTTCTTACGTATTCATATATACGCTGCGTATCGTCCATTATGTTTATCGCCAAAAGCAAGCCGACTAATAGAGGATTCATAATTTTTCTCGGTTGTCGAAAGCATCAGGTATTTTCGTTTCAATTCCTATCCGTTTAATTACTCAGTTTGTGCTTACGCTTCTCGAATACATTGTTAAGCAATTGTTCTCATTAACAGATATTGACTCCTATTTATTACGATACTCGTATCGCCTCGAAGCAATATTTTAATTAGGCGCAAAAGGGAGCTCCTTTCGGACGTTAGAAAGAGAACTGTCACTCGTACGCGAAACGATTTGAGAGAAAGATGAAGACGAAAAGAGACCGGACGCCCGTTTCGTAATTAGCTGCTCAAAGCCGGTAAATTGAGCACCGCTTCCAGCATCCAGCGGCACAAATTGCGAGGCAAATTTTCCGTTTCGACAGCACGGGGTTGCGTGTCTGTTGCCCTGGCTGGTCTGCGTGGCTTTCGCTGACGAGTCAATCACGGCAACGGGGTATCTCGGGGAGATCTGCTCCCTTTGCTCCCTCCCACCCTCCCTTTCGCTTGTCACGATCATTCTCGCTATTCTTCTCCTTCGCCGTCGCCGTTTTCGGACATTTATCGTCTTTCTTCTCGAAATAACCGCAAAGGGGGAAAAAAAAGAGACAGATCCGTCGCCGCGCGGAGCGGCAATTCCACGCTAGGGACAGGTGTTTAAGGCGTTATTAGTCTGTAATGGTGCACTCGCAGCAACGCAGCTTCGGTCTACGTATAATGACTCACGAAGCACCGAAAATATGCGCTCGAACTATCTGCCTTTTTCTCTTCGGTTTAGTAACCGACAAATCCGCACGTTAACATCGCTGCCCAATAACGAAGACTCGATCTCGGTCTTTCCGGTATCGTTGCTGGCCCCTTTACCTCTGGCTCCGGTGTTCGATGGAATTTGAGACGTATATCCGCCGGACGCGCCGCTCTCGAGGGCAGGGATATCGGTATGAAGCCCACCACCTCTGAGAATACGATTGACCGACGATACGGAGGGTAAGCTTTGGGGGTCGCAAGCTCCCTGCCGCGCGAGCTGCTCGCGGATCTCCCAGGCGAACATGGTCGGCTGTTCCTGCTTCATCCGTAAAATCTTTTTCACCACCGTCGGCGTAGCCACTTGCTGCAACAATGGGAATATAAGCATGTTTGCTGTGAGAATATAAATTAAATTTATTTAAATGGATGTACAGAAATGTCCCATGTATTAGATGCATTACACCGGGAAACAAGTGTTGAATAAAGCGTCTTTCACGATGCAACCGTATGCAGCAGTCGCGAGCTGTCGAGCAGGTATTTGTTAATTTGGAAAAATATGTCGATATTATTGACGTACGTTCACTTAATTTAAAAGCACAAATATCCGAACTAAAGGTACAACTGCAATTTAACAACCTTTTCTCTCAGCGCACATTCCGTCTGTCGTACTTTACTTCCTAACGACGGATTCTCTAATGACTCTTCGGAATCATCGTTTCTTTAACGAAACTGTCCAGAGAAGTCATTTGCCACAATTGTAAAATCTTTACTTTTTGTAAACTTGAAAGAGAAAACTTTCATCAATTTTTAACATATGTGCCCACCTTCCGTAAGGATGTTTATCGGTGCCGGGATGCCGTTGTTAATCATTCCATTTTCTTTTTCAGGTCGGAATCGCGCGCGTTATCTCATCGACAAATTAACACGAACGCGGTCACACCGCCTCGTCGTGGCGAGTCGCGCACGCATATGTCGTTCACAGGTGAAGAGCACGACGGGGTCGTCAATCAGATAGCGAGGAGAGGCCGTCCGGTGCCGGTGGGCGAAGGTACTACCCGCTTTATTTCAGTTTAGCCCCCGTTCGGCAGAGAAACGGGTTGCCCGGTCGGTTGGTACCCGTCCACCGGTGCCGTTGCCTCCGCCACGAGGCCCACCGTCGGGTCTCGCCTCTCCAAAAGGGGCCCCAGTGGTGCTCAATCTGGCCGCGCGGCTAATTTGACTTGCTAATGAGCGGTAATGGCACGCGGATAATTTTATGCTAACGCGATGGAAATGTTATTCCGGCCGTACAGATTTCGAGATCGCCGATCTCTTTTGGGGGCGACGGCGGGCGCGGCGGCGCGAGCGAGAAGCACCGAGGGATCTCGCTCTCGGGGAGAGACGATCATCTTCGCGGCTCCCCCGTGCGGGGGTTCGTACATATGTACGTGTACATACACGTATCGCCGAGCGGAACGGCATCGCCGAACCCGTCGATTACCGCCGCCGATCTCATTTCGCGAGAAGATCGATGCCACGGCGTTCCGCGCGACGGTAATCTGTGCTTGGTCACGTGGGGCCCGATACCATCTCTTTCTGTCTCTGTCTCTCTCTCTGTCTCTCTTTCTCTCGACAAATTGTTTGCAGGATACGATCGGCACAAAGACAAACGGTCGGACGTCGATTGATAATCTCGGTACGGTTGTGAGAAATTATAAGCTTCGGATTGCAGGGTCGCCGTGTCATCTCTCGCGTGATCATGCTCAGCCTAATCGATTTCTCCCCAAGGAAAATGCGTCACTCGCGAGTCATTGAAAATAAACTTCTGCCGCGAGCGAGCCAAAGGCTAATTAACGGCAGAAAGTGTCCTGCTTTTATGCCGAGCTTGGGCAGTAACGGTCAGAGCCGGGATGACGAAAATTGTGAAGATCCGGAGTTAATGCGAAGTGCGCAAGAGATGTCATTATCCGGGGTCCTCGCAGGTGAAAGCACCACTGGCGGGGAGCGTTTAGGGGCTAGTGCCTCGGGGGTAGCGAAGAGTCGGTGAGGGCCGCCTAATAGTTTGAGGGGGTTAGGACAAGCATCGCGTGCTCCCGGGAGCATCTCAGATTCTAATCTGACACTTCCGTCGTCGTCGTTGCCACAATTACCCCTGCCCCCGACAATATATACGGTGCGTCCTAATGCGGACCCTCGCGTCACCGTTCGGCCACGTCGTAAGCGCGGACACGCACGTGAGCATGCGTCGTACACACGTGCATGCACGTGTGTACGTGCGCGCGTGTGTCCGTGTGTCCACCGTCGGAGGAAATTGGCTGGACAGAATGGACATCTGGCACTAAACGTTAGATAACCCGGGGCCTGTGTATGTACGAACAGGTTCACCAACTCGGTAATTATCGCGCGTAAGTCGCGCGCCCCGCTACATGCGCCCCGAGTGCCTGGAGTGCTCGTGAATGATAAGGGCGACCGTCGACACCTTCCGCCACCATTTTTTCCCCTTCGTGCCAACCCGGACGCGCCGGTGTCGTCAAAAATGAGAGACGATTGATTTGTCGACCGGCGAAGTAAAATAAAAGCGAACAAGTGCGGTAGATGAGAGCAGCGAGTTATCTAACGATAAGAGGATCGATTAACCCGACATATGTGTGCTGAGTTTCTATGACGAATTTTTTCCCCCGTTCTTTGCGTTCTGTAAAGTTAGAAAACCGAAAGTCTTCGAGAGAAAGGGTCGGAAGTTGCTTTCTGAACGGAAAAAGGAATACTTGAAGCCAATTTCGCTAAAATTTTTTACTTTACTGAATAAATGTGATAGATCTTTGACATTAGCCAATATGCATTTAAGTGTGCGTGTATTTGTCTGTTAACAGTTTCGAGATAGAGCAAATAGTAATGGAATTAAGTATCTTGCAAGTGGATTGAACCTGTAGCTTCGAATTCTCTACAATTATTTCGAAAGGTAAAAGCAATACTTCAAGTATTGCTCGACACTCGAACCCAGATGAAATGAGTTTAAATCTTCTATGATTTATATTTTATATGAAATAATTTTAACTTAGTTACATTAAAGACTGTTAACTTTTAACTAAATTTAGTTACATTTTATTGGTTAATTGTTAACCAGAGGTCGACTCTCTGTCTCTTTTTAGATAATAATATAAAGAAAGATAGAGAGTCGACTAACATCTGGTTAATAATTAACTAGGAACTGAAAAACCGGGCCTTAAAGTTAGTCATACCATAAGCAAAGGCGTCGCGAGACGCCGTGCGTCTGCCTACATTGGTGCAGTCTCTGTGTTTCAAAATTCACTGCCAGCTCTAAAATCTACTGTGTACGTGTACTATAGATTTTCAGCGCTGGTAATGAATTTTGGAACACAGCTATGATATGGGGTTTTGATCCTCGAACTCACGTGAAATTGTTTGCATATGAAATGGACCATACTCCGTGTAGTGTGAGTGATTTTCCAAACGCTAGTCGCTAAATTCAATGCAATTTACGTGATCGCAAATCTCTGAGATTTTATGTAAAAATAACACATTTAACTTTTAACTTTTTAATATCTTTTTACTGTTAACTTAATTTTTAATTTAATTAATTGTATTATGGACTAACTTGTATCTTAACTAAGTTAAGTTTTCAAGGCTGTTAACTTTAACTTAACTTAGTTACAAAAGTAAGATAACTTACCCAACCCTGCATTTCGGTTAATGCCTCTTAAGTGAAAATGATCTTTGCGTCACTGAATATCGACAGAACTAATTGAGATAATTGATTAGTGTTACTTAAAAATCTTGGATATACTAAGATAGCATAGCTAATTGCGATTTTTAGTTACGCTGGGTAAAGTTCGTAAAAGATTCGAGTCACGAAGAATCCAAATAATTCGATTACTAATTGTGGGCCCCAAGATGGGTTGCTAACTGTCCCTTTTTTCCCCAGAGTAGGTGTCGAACGGACATAAGCAAATCTTGCGAACGCCTTGCAAATTAGGAACTCTCGTTTATAAGCGCGACTTCGCGTCGTGGGATCACCCCATAAACGAGGCACGATTCGTTGTCGCGGTGTTCCAAGCGCTGTTAAATCATGCATCGCGGAAATAAATACATGTCCATGCGCCGGGGCGGTCAGATACGCGCGTATTTCCGCCGAGACCACGAGCGAGATCTTAATTGCCAGATAAACGGGGAAAATCGTCTGATCGCTGAGCGTGAACCGTACACGCCGAGAAAATAAATGTCCCGCTGGTCGAAGCCGTGACAATAATCATTTCCAGATGTGTGGGCGGTATATTCCCTCAACGGTTTCGAGAAACCCGCGAGATCGTTATCGAGTCCGGCAGAGGTAAAGAGGGTTGAAGCGTCGCACGACGAGGGCACTCTGTCGCGGTGTTATCCAGCTGTTACATGAGAGAGAGAAAGAGAGAGAGAGAGAGGGGGGGGGACTTTGGATCGCGGCGATTTTTTCCTGGACGTTCCACTTTATTATCCACGACCTGTGCATTTTTCATGAGACAATTTTCTCTGTCGTGCCGCCGGCTTATTATCCGACGCGTATCACGTTGACGCGCACGCGTGCGTACGACAGGAGAGAGAAAGAGAGAGAGAGAGAGAGAAAGGATAACGGAGAAAGTACGTGGACATGCCTCGAAAATGTTACGTACCGGAGCCGAGAACACGTGTAGATTCGCCGATAGCCGGTCGATTAATTTCGCGAGATCGCACGCTAAATTGCGTCGCACGATGCAACGACGCGCGAGACGGAGAGACCGGATTAATCTTTCGCTCCCGAGAGCGCGAATTTAATTAAACACGACTATATCGGCTCTCGAATGCGCGTGGTCCGCCCGAGGGTGCTCGGGTACCAAGCGGTCCCGAGCGCCGCGCAGTTTACACCAAATTCGCGCGCGGCAAGATCGTTCGATGACCGAGGGGCAGTATCGTGGAACGTGCGCGCCGCGGTGGGCGCGGAAAGTCGTAATAACAGACTTAAAAAAATGGAGAGCAACGTTATCTCGAGCCGGCGCACCGTTCATCTTTCGTTACTCAGCAAGAAAATCGGAACGTCCTCCATCTCGACGGAAAGCGACGTGAGGGGGAGGGGTACGGGGATGCGGTTAAATGCCGGTTCTCGAGGGCCACGACGAGTTAATACTGCCAGGCAATCAAAGGATTTACCTAGTAGCCATTATTTAATTATCGGCGTAATTTTAAATCGCTGTAAAAGCCACTTACAGACAGGGATAGTGACGGGCCGCCGAGTCGACCTGTTATCTAACGATCTCCTCGTGAGAGCAGATCCTTTGTGCGCACGACGGTGGGCGGGCGGAGATACGCTGCGCGTGCAACGCGAGCGACTTGATCCCTCGTGTACTCGCTTCTCAAAAAGGACAGAGAGAGAGAGAGAGAGAGAGAGAGAGAGAGAGAGAGGGGCGGGGGGCTTGTACGTCCTCCTAATTTCCCTCGTCCAAATTGCCAAAAGGTTGCCGTTTACTTGTCGCAAAGAGGAGAAGAAGAAAGCGGAGACTTCGGTCGGCCGATCGCGTAGATCGCGGTTAAAAAAGACCTCGGGACTAAGCCGTATTAAGGGCGCAACCATTATTTCGGCGACGGGACTATTTTGACATACGTGCAATAAAACGAGCGCCGGTAATGGCGGATGATGACTATCGTTTACATGCGCGCGTAATCGGCCCCCCTTCCCCGTGTTCCTGCCGGAATTTAAATGTCCTCTTCAGGATTCTAAGGGCCACCTTCCCCCCCTCTCTCTCTCTCTCCTTGTCTGTTTTGTTCTCTTTCATCGGCGTTACCAAACTCCAACTCGCAACTTGAGGAAGGTCGACGCACGCCGCGTCGACGCGGCGTTATTAAAATAAATTCATTAAGCACAGAGTAACAGTCCGCGGTCGGCGCATCGTAAGAAATTCCCAGTGCACGTACGCACCGTGCAATTATATTGTCATTAGCGGCGTGTGTACGCGATACCGCGAGCTGCTGCCTGCAGCCCGTCGCTGCAGCTTCGCGATGCGCGCCCGTCCGAGCGGGGGGTGAAATGGCGTTCCTGAGCGACGTGAATACGTCAATGCGGTAAAAAAAGCTGCGACGTTAAACCTCACGACCAGCGCGATTACGATCGAACGACGGAAATGTCAACGGATCCTACGATTTCGCGTGATCGATTTCGATTGCGAGGCGACGGAGAAGGAGGCAGCGGCTTCTCCTCTTCAACATCGATCTGCAACAGATCGATTGATTTACGAAGTTCGAGTAGCAAGGGAGAACCGTGTAAAACCATGAAATCGTGACAACGCTGATACGAGCACCGCAAGGTGTTTGGATAATTGCATGCACGGCGCAAAACGCAGCCCTTACTTAAAATCACATCAGCAATGCCTCGACTCTGTATAGGGGTAGGACTGGCTCTCATCAGAGCCATCGTCCGCACACTGATGCGTGGTCGCTCGTTTTCACGTGTTTTTGCAAAGCCACACCGTCATTAATATTATCCCGAGTCGCAACTCTTACCGCGCAATCTTAAGCCTAATATCTGATTCTCAAACTACCTTCGTTCTGACATTGACATTCGACGAAACTTTCTTCAGGGAAAAAATCTGCAAGCAGTGCGGAAGTTCTGAATACATTTTTGAGTACTCCGTTCGTAAATACACGAAGAAAATTTACCCTGAAAATCATAATCGTGGGACAACGTGGCACTTTGAAGAACTTTATGAGAGTTCTTTGAAATTTTATCAAACATTTTATTAGAAAAATGTATGGCAAAGTTTCAGAAAACTTTCACAAAATTCTTCAAAATGCCAGTGTATTAACTTTAGTGAGTCACCAAAGCATTTTTGAAACTTGATTCCGATATATTTTTACATGAAATATGAAACGTTCCCATTTTTATACATTCGAGCATAAAAATAACCATGGGACGAGATAATCGATGCAGAAAGTTATATAATCGTAATCGTGGTAAACTGTAACTTAACTCGGTTACATTAATAGTTACTTTATATATAAAGTAACTTTCCCAACCCTGATCGCAATTAAGAATGCGTGCAAGTGTACGTATAGATAGATATCCTTTAGAAATCGGGAGCTCTGACCGGAGGTCGATCTTACCTTCGTCTTGCTTCCGCCAATGCTGCCAGGTCGGATGCTTCCCGTCTCGTAGAATCTCGTGAGTATCTTGGAGACGCAGCCGTGGGACACGAGTAGCTGTCGAGAAATATCGCACGGCCTGACGCCGACCATGGCGAGCTGCACGATTCTCTGGCGCACGCAGTCCGGCAGCGGCCTGCCGTTCACAAAGACGCCGCCTAATTGATTCACCCCGGCTTGTCCTGGAAGAGTAGCCAAGTCAGTCAGTCGCGTTATTGTGTTAATAGGGCGAGATAACGATGACGCGATAAGTCGGCCCAAGTCACCGGGACTGGACGATTCGAGATTTCGCGATTCGATGGGACGGCAAAAGGTGTTTATCGATTCAGAAGAGGACAGTCGGAAATCTGCTAATAATGCGCTCGCGGTCGTCCGGGAAGGTCGGCAGGTGCATTCGCTGACGTGCGGTCCTGGCTGGCCCTCTAATGACATTGTTACGACGAATATCACGGAAAGAGCCTTCCCTCCCCTGCCTTTCCGCCCGGCAAAGACGTGTCATTATTTTCAGTAATATTAGGAAGATCGTGCAGCGCGTTCACAGCGAAATCCCGACGTCTATGTTTTCCGAAGGTCGTTTGCAATTAACGTAGAAGTAACTGGTTCGTTGGTTTTATTCAACGAAGATATTATTAAATGTTCGTTAAAGGCCGCTATTGTTTCGAACACTCGTGGAAGACGTTTTCCACGAGGCACTGAATTTATTTCGTGCGAACGGAGACCGTAAATTGCTTCCTGCTTGCGCGCGATTGTCATTTCGTTTCTCTCGAAACCCAAACAGAGACTTTATTAGTAATTAGAGACTTTATTATGAAACAACTTTCGGCTCAATAAAACTTGACGATTTTAAAATCGTCGTATGTTAAATCGAGTCCGATAAAAATTAGCATAATTCGAAGATTCAGGATGAAGTTTAGATCTATCGACGAGGCGTAAAAGTTAATTGGGATGAAACGTTAAGACGAGGACGAGTGGTCGTTTTAGAAGCCATTTTGTATTTTTTCTCTTTCTCTCTCTTAATAACCGCATTCATAAAACGCGTAATTTTCATATTCAGCAGCGCGTGAATATAAGACGCACAATGTGTTGCGGACTTAAATCACGTCGAACGACAAGTTATCTACGCATTGCATGCGCGACACGTCGTATAACGTCGTATACCGCGATGTAGCACTTGTCGAAAATTTTATAAAATCGATTCTATTCCCCCGCAGTGGTGTCGTAAAACCGTAATGACCGGCTCGTCGCGCGCGAATAAAAACGCCAATTGATCATCGATTTTATGTTCCGCCGTCGAAAATGAGCGCTTAAACGATCCGCGGTCGGACGCGCGCGTTAAGGCGTCGAATAAAATCCGACAATGAGTTATACACGACAGTTTCCGTTTGTCTTTCTCGTTACACGCTGCACGCCGGTCGGAAGAAGTTCGGACGGACCGTGTGTCGGTGCCGCGTCATAAATCTTGGATCGGTTCATTCGACGCGCGAAGAATCCTTAATTTTCGGACCGTAGCTTTCGACGACGATCGGTTAACGGCATCATTATTACACGCCGTTCGGAATTCCATGGGAATCTCTGTCGCTTAATATTCAGCCATTTCCAAGTTGAGTTCTGGTCCCGCGAGTCTGTATCGACAACTTTCGGCAGCGTGAAATTCGGATCCGAGGAAATAAAAACCCCCCCCCGCGAGATTAATTATCTGCCGTTACGCGCTGACAAATAACGAAAGACGTGTGATACATTTTCGTAATTACAACTCTGTCACAATAACTTTCGCAACGATACGAGTTAGAAATCTTTACAATCGTAACGATATTGTTGCAATACAGCCGCGGCTAAGTAGGGAGGTTTGAGGATGCGAGCAATCTGGCCCGGTTGCGGTTCCGCACGGACGCACCGGTGGAGATAATCACCGGCCAGGCACGTAAGTTTAACGAATAATAACTTGCCGCGTAATGGGAATAATCGGTTTTATTCCGCGGCGATTATTATCGACGTAAGTGGGGCCGGGGGAGAAAGAGCGAGAGAAAGAGTAGGCTCACACAGAAGCGGCGTTACTAACGACTGCCTCTCCCTCGTGAAAGAAAATACAAAGGGGCGAAAAAAGGCCGAGAGCATAAATGCCATGCGGACGGCTTATATAAATCGAGCCACGCGCCTTCACGTAGACGCGTCCGGATGGCCGCGCGTACCCGGGGACGATCGCTAATTATTATCCGCGCCGACTAATTATGTCATTACCACGATCACTGACGCCGACGGACCTCCGAACCAGCTTGAGAAATAACGATCTCCCGGAGCGGCCGCGTATTCGGGCCAAAGAAAAGGTTTTCGTCAACCTTTTCCGCCGGCATTACTCCCGGATTCCACGAATCCGAGCTTTATTTGGCGTTTTACGGGCTAATTGACGGACGATCGCGATCACTCCCGTGACTCCTGCACTTCCCCGAAGGCGCCTCCACGCTCTGGGAAGCAAACGATTATACTCGCGATGCCGAGTTTTTTATGCGCCCCCGAGATTTTATATCTCGGGATGATTCCTAATAATTTTTATTCCTAACAGTTTACATATACACGTATGTACATACGCGCGCGCGCGCCCGCCCGCATGTGTGCGTGTATGTGTGCGAGTTTTAAATTGGGAGATAAAATCGCCTTCCAATTAATGCGCCCATTAGCCATATTTACTCATGTAAGCGCGATCTGCGAAAGAGTCATTACATGTCCCGGTCGAAATTACGAAACGGTCCTACAATTTCATGACGCTTTCGCGGGAGCGGACGTGACGCTCTCTCGCAGCACGAAGTGGGAATTGCTGATAATGACCACCGGTCGAAGGCGTGACGGATTGTCCTTATTGGATAATTTAAGGGTCTTTCGATTGGTGACAGGGACACACAGCCGGTAAGACTCATTTTCGGAGAAATTACTTTTCGGCGAAATTACATCCGGGGAAATGCGCGTCTCGCGTGCTCGCACGTACCTTATTCATTAGCGTCTTACCGAACCCGCGCGTACCCTGGGAAGAAAAAGACAGCAACCCATTTTGGGACCCACAATTAGTAATCGAATTATTTGGATTGTTCGTAACTCTGGGAAAAATTTGGACCGTTTTTTTTTGTAGTCAAGCAACTTAGCATTTCGGTTAGTGCCTCTTAAGTGAAAATTATCTTACTGAATATTGACAGAACTAATTAAGAGAATTGATTAGTATTACTTTAAAAGCTAATTGCGACGTTTAGTTACGCGGGGTAAAATTCGTAAAAGATTAGAGTTACGAACGATCCAAATAATTCGATTACTAATTGTGGGCCCAAAAATGGGTTGCTGTCTTTTTTCCCCAGAAAACTCGATACGGGCAGAGCGAATGCATTTTTTCATCACTAAAATAATTAAATAAATTAACACCGGGATCTAAGGATTCTACAAGTTTTACTCTCTAAAAGTCAATCAGTGCATTATCACTGCACTGAGAAAAAGTTATTAAAATGACCAAATACAGTTAGTCGGCAGTATTTCTTTAGTTCAAATATATGTTTTTTTTTTAAGTTAAACATACAGTAACTTATCGAAACATATTTTTTTGAATTGACGAATATTTTTGTGAATTGAAAAATATTTGCTTGGCAGTCCGTGATCGCCGCATATGGTTGAATCAAGAAATATTTCTTGATTCAACACTTTTTTTCTCGGTGTAAAAATAGTTATAAGTATAGCACCGAATTATTCAGTGCTATACTTATAACTCTCTCTAAAAGTCAATCAGTGGATTATCACTGAAAATAGCGAATATTCACTGATTAGCACTGAATAATTCGACGCCATACTAACTGTGAATCATTGAATATTCACTATTTTCAGTGGTAATCCACTGATTGACTTTTAGAGAGTAAAACTTGTAGAATCATTAGATCCCGGTGTTGATTTACGTTCAGCCGGAAAATGTAATAACACTTTCGCAGATCGCGCTTGCACGAATAAACATCTAATGGGTGCATTAATCGGAAGATGATTTTTATCTCTCAATTAAAAAATCATACATACATGTATACGCTAAATTAACGCTTGTTCAACCATTTTTGTGTAATTGATTAATTATTTACTCCTTGATGCCAGCCTTCATTCGTTCTGCCGGGCATACTAATCTGCGACGCGATTGCACCATGCAAAATTATACACGCCACGTATTTCGGACAACGGAAGCCGGACGGCGACGCGACGGACACAGCGGGCCAAATTATTATTACGGCAAAAACTGGCCGAAACGGCGTCTTTATCTAACTGCAAATCTGCCGGTGGATCCGCGAAATAATGGAACTGCGCGTTAACGGCGCGGCTCAAGCCGCGCCGCGCATCATAAATAGCACGGAACCGCTCGTTTACGTGGGACAAAAAGCGCATGCACGGAAATCGGAATACCGGAAACGCGCGATCTGCAAAGGGGCCAGGGCGAGGAGACGAACGGGATGGAATTGGTAAAAAGCCGCTCGGAAATACGTTATAGACTGCCACGCGGACGCGATCGCGGTCGCGCGAAATAACTGTTATCTCTGATAACGGCACGGGATGTTAATAAAGATGCGTTTGTAATAATTAAAGGCGCGATAAACCGCGCGCTTCTCGTAAACGCGGGTCGGATGTGCAGGCGATCTAGTTTATTAAATAGATGCTTTACGCTACATTAAATGCACCGCTTTTCTCGCGTGATGAGTAACTTAAGTGCACCTTCCGTCCGCGAAATAATACCATTGGTCTTTTTAGAACCATCGCCTTGTTCTCCTTTTAATTATCGTCAGGAAAGTTATAGTTCATTTAGGTCGGCCGACGCCTCATATCTTTTACAGTTTCAGATTCTGAATTCCGACGATTTAACGGATGTGATCTTGATTGAATCGATACTGTGGGGATTTCGGCAATTTAGCCTAAGAGGATTTTATTAAATAAAAAAAGCTGGAACTTGCATACATAATTCTCCATAAATTTGTCGTGGCAAAAGGATTCGCTATTTTTTTTTCTCGGTAATGCGTTTGGACCTTGACCACCTTTTAATCCATTATCGATTGAATGCATAGGTAGCTCATTACACCGCAATAATTATGACGGAACATGTACTATGTAAAAGTTCCTGTTAACTAATCGTGCACGCTATAAATTTCATCACAATTAAATCGTTTTACATAATTGAGTTCTAAAAATAATTAATTTTTCAATCCCATTGTTGTATTATTCTTGCTTTACCCGAGTGTCAAAATTAAAAATCACATTTACGTCGTGAAATATGAAAAAATTACTTTGATGATATTTTAGAAATATACATTACTTGGATACATTCTTCTGAGATAGATAAAAATAGATATAAAAATTACACAAATCTATTTTTATGTGTTACATCTGTGTGGCCTCTCTTTTTTTCTCTTCTCCCTTATTTCTATTATATGGAAAAAAACTGTGCGGAATTTTTAGAGCGATTGATTGATCGATGTGCAAGGTGTACATAATAGAAATGACAATTTTATGTAGGATATCAATATTTCGAATCTCCTCTCATATTCCGGCTTATATTTTCTTAAAAGAGTGCAAATTGTCAAATTACGAGCACAAGGTTCTCTCGCGAGTGCATAAAGGGATATCTCTCGAGATATAATACAGGCTTAACTTAGAATTAGCCGGCTAATGCGATCGCCAACAACGATCGCTATCGCACTGGCCATTTAGGCCCTAACCAAACTCTACACCTGCCTACCTGTAATCACGATCCGCGCCCATGCTAACAGATTTTTTTCTCTCGTACGAGAGAGCGAGCGCGTCTCGTACCGGGAATCGGCGATTCGCCGATTCGGAATCGGTGCCGAATCGGCACGCATCGGTCAACTCGTTCGCGCTATCGGCTCCGTCATCATCTGTCTCAAAAGAAACACATGCGCGAGACAGCCTTAAGTGGAAGTGTATCAAGATGGTTAACAGCGGCTGTTATTAAGCGTTTATCGCTCCAATGATTATCCGCGACTTGTGGATGTTGCTGATAATTAAGAAGTTACATATGTAACATGAGCTCGCTGATAATTAAGAGGTAACATTGAATCTGGGAAGCGCGCGTTATGAACCGCGATAACATCATTTAATATAGCCCTCTGCAATCTTGTAAATAATTTTTCGATATAATAGCGCACTTGGAAATTACCCGCATAATGATTTATGGTGGCAAGGTCGTTAGCCACATCGAAAGTCTTTCGTAATTTCGCTGCATTCGTCGGCGCGGGGTGATCTAGGAAATCTGCTACAGAAAGCTGTCGGCGTGGCATCACGCAAGTCGTTCGGCCGACAAGATTATGCATGGCCGAAATTAATTCTACTCCCATTTCACACACGGAAGATGTGACAGCCGAAACGGAGAATACTTTCTTCAATTTCGAAGGCCTCTCGCCGGAAGAGCGAGAGATCGATCGCTCGATCGGGATCCAGGCAGGATTCTTTACACGGGCATCAGGCCGGCGTAAAGCGAGGAGGGAAACAGAGAGGAGAGACGGTAGATTATAATTATACTCGTTTAATAATAGGCCTATAGATGTCGGCGTTCGATCCACGGTATAAAATTCTTCGTTAATTACTGTCAAACTGCCTTTCAAAGCGTAATTTAGCCTTGAGCCAGCCAGGGAGAGGAGGGAGGCCTCTCTGCGGTGGAAGAGGAGGAAGGCAGAAATTTTTATTTTCACGACCGATTTCGACCTGTGATCTCGCCGACGCGACGGTAGCTGACCCCGTCCCGGGGAAACCATAACGACGTGTTACATTCTCTCTCACATAAATCAGGAAGCGATGCCGACCGAAATGCGCGGTGAGATTGGCTATTTAGCAAGCCGGCTGCTGTTTGCGACGAGCCGACGCGATGTTCTTTTCGGCTAGGAATTAGCATACGCTACGCTAGTGAAACGATCTCACGATCTGCTGGTCAATTCTGTATCTTGCACCATAGTGAAAATGCTAAAAGTGAGTAGCCTTGTCTCTTTCTAACTGTCCCCCTTAAAAAGAGACAGTGCCGCTCACTTTTATAGCATTTTCACTATGTTGAGAGATACAGAGTTGAACCTCTGATCCTTTAACCAGCGCTTTCTCAAAATTTACGACAAAACCGCGCTACAATTAGTGTTGTCTGCGTATTATTAGTATTAAGGTGGCTCCTGCACAAAGGAGTGGAAAGTATGGATGCTTCGGTGGAGCCTCTTTTATTTTTATTAATTCGTGTGACTTGTTTCATAAAAAATATTACTTAATGCATCAGCGATTACATGCATTGATATACTAGGTTGTATACCAGGGTCGAAATTTTGCTACTATTTTGACATTTTTAGGGATAATTTATATCTACTTAGCTGATCTATACACCTACACCAGCAATAACCTACTTTGATGACATTATATGTTTTTACTCCTCCCTAGATCTTTAATTCTAAAAATTTAATTTAGCTTCTACTTAAAAGGACATACTTTAATGCTAAATTGGCAAAAGTAGAAATTTCCGATACTATCAGTTTTAAAATACAAGTAAATTTTGTACTTGCAGTTCGAGCTCTTTTACTGCCTTAGGTCTTACTATATAATAGACTTATACGTTCAACATAGGGCCAAAATTTCGACTCGGGTATGCACGTTTAAAAATATGTGACGTTGTCAAATCTCAAAGAGCTGTCAAAAAACGTTCTATTTTTTTCAGAGTTGGGTATGTTATCTTTCTTTTTAACTAAGTTAAGTTAAAGTTAACAGCCTCGAATCAATCCATAATACAATTAATTGAATTAAAAGTTAAGTTAATGATAAAAAGAAATTAAAAAGTTAAAAGTTAAGTTTGTTTTATTTTCACATAAAATCTCAGAGACTTACGATCACGTAAATCGCATTGAATTTCGCGATTAGCGTTAGAACAATCACTTCACTTTCTTTTGTTTCATCGGCGACCGGGTGTAAAATTTCGCGTACTGATAGATAAAACTTGCAACTACAGAATGTACTTAAATTTTAATTTTTTCTACTTTTGGTCGGTTTATGCAGGAGCCACCTTACATAATGAGAAAGTTGGTTATTTACTCAACACGTTGCTCGATCGTTCCAATCCTGATTAGACGCGTGTACCGAAATAAGATTAATTTTGATGACAGACTCTTGACTCGATTTTTCTTCAGCGAAAATATCGCGACGTCAATGATCTGCGAGTAACAAGCAATCGCGCGAAAAGAACTTTTCGCAAAGTTTTAAGGAAATGAACAGCCAACGAATTATATTCTTCAGTTAACCCAGAAGTGAAGTTTTCATTCTCGGCTTAAAGTTAAATTATAATGATATACGATATAGAAAGTAGGAAAGTTGCGATAAATTTCGGACTTTTCGCCAGGAAAAAAGATTGGCCTGAAATTGGTCAGGCGAGTAGCCGTAGAAACTAAAATCGCACGAGCTCCGGGACGTCCGGCGCGTGTCCCAGTCGCGGTAAAGAAACGAAAGCCGAAGAGGAGCGAGTATCTACTCACCAGTGTGCGGCATGGCGACGGGCGGTCACGTGCCGTATCTGAAACAGAGCAAGTGCGCGGTCTTTAAGACTTAACGGCAAACTGCAAAGTCGTACGGCGTGTCGTACGACGTGAAACGTAGTGCGCATCGCCGTATTAGATCCTTCGGAGTGGCGTATCGCGGGCAGCATTGCGCGCCGCGCCGTGTGTGCGTGTTTCCTTGCCCGCGCGACGTATTATAGAGTATAGCGGGAGTATAGCCTTCGCCGTTAATGAATTTAAATGTATTCAAAGGGCGCGCTTGACGCTTGACATGGCAACCCTTAAATATGCAACCGTACCGATAAGGCAAAGCGCGGCAAAATATTGCCGCCGGTAGCCGCAAACCGTGACTCTCATTCCCCGCGAGCAGATCGCGGCGAGATCGCGGCGACGGCGACGGCGACGGCGATGGCGGCGGCGGGGCCGCTCGCCGAGCGCCGACAACTTCATTTTCATATTTCAGTTTTTACACTAATTGCATAAATTACGCGGCGTCGCGCACCAGGTTCCCGGATCGTCGGGGATCCGGGCGCGGATCATCCCTTCCCGTTGTTACTCGGCCGAGGCCCCTCGACGTCTCCGCGCGTAGGACCAGTTCGGCCTCCAACGGCTGTCGCGGCGTAAGAAATCGCGATTTGAGAACTCGCGGCGGACAGAAGAAGGAGCGAGCGGAAAACTACGTGGAATGCGTGCGTAGCGTGGCGGGTGGCGTGTACTTTGTGATGCAAATTAATGCACGATTACCGAAACACCCCTCGCCCGCCCTCGCGCGCCCACCGGCGACTCCTTACCCTCGTAGTTACCCTTGCTACCCTTCGCGCAGGTGTGTGTGTTTGCGTGTGTCCAACGGCAGGGACGTGTTTCGAGGTATATACGTGTAATAAGTACGATCCGCCTCCACCCCCGTGACTCGATGCTTACCCCGGCATTAGGCCTGGTTACACGCTCGTCCCCTCCCCCCCGATTGCAGTTCTAATCTGATGTAACTATTACATACGTTACGCGGTATCCATATAGTCGAAATGGCTATGCGCCGCGCGGCGAGTCTTGATGAGAACTCATTTCTTCTTGCCCGACCGTCATCCTAGCCGCGTGTCCTAGTAGCGATATCCTCCACTTTTCAGCCAGCCCCGCTATTAAATTATATCTTGGATCAACGGAGAACGCCGTTCTCTCCTCGTGACCGAAAGACGTGCCACGGTCTCCCCTTAGTTCCCCGCAATTTTTCTCCGTAAACGTCCCAGCGAGAAACGGCTCGTCAATCGATGTCGAGACGACGTTGAATCGACACCGCCGGAATCGATGTCGAATCGACGTCGTTTCGACGAATCGTTTCTCACCGGGGTACGAAACGAGTTCGCGAAGACCCGGCGTATCCGGCGAGACCCCGGCCTCGGCGAAAAAAGCGGATTGCACGTGTGTCGCGGCTCCCTCGAAGGACCACTAAATTCCATCGCGCAGCGATTTCAAGGTGTCAGGTTGTACTCGTTAAAGGTATACGGTCTACGATCGCGAGTGTCGTCGGCTCGATACTCGAGGACGATGACGACGACAACGAGCGGCGAAGAATGCGTGTGCTTTTTGTCACGAGGCGGGATTACTTTCGGCCCGACGCGCTCGCAAACTCGTTGGTTCGCGTCCCGCGGGGATGGAGCTTCCCGTAATGAGGATTGAGCGATTATTATAAATCAAACGAAGCGGAGGCCACGGGTGAGCCGGAGCGTCGCGTTTCTCGCGTGCCACGTGTTTTGCCGATGTTACTCTCGCAAACACGTGTTCCGCCCCCTTTTACCCCTTTTCCCTCCTCTTTCTACGTTTGCTCTCCTCGCCACCGTAAACGCATGCAAATGTCGCGAATGCGCGTCCCGACGTTTTTATTCTCGCACCCAACCATCGAGTAAAATTCAATTTATGGAAGTAACGCGGTGTACGCTTCGTCGGCCGTTTCTTATCGGCCCGTCATTACTATCGCCATTCGAGGGATCTAGTCCTATTTTTTTTAATGTGATGTTTTAAAGAGAGTTCCCTTATTATTGTCGATAGACGGTTTTAACTTTCCGATTCGTGTTTCACATGCAGAAATACACGATCCTACATACAGCCGGAGAGTGTCCTTACCGTTTTTGATGATATTTTACAGGATCGTGTATGATAATCATCATTAACGGAACAATTGTAACTTTTGTCTAATAACTAAAAAAAAAACCTAAAAACTAGAGACCGGAGAGATTATACGAGGATTAAAGAGGCAAATGAAGGCGTGTTGCTCAAAGCTCCATACGAAAAGTATAACAACTCGGGAATCAGTCATTCCCGATCGACTCGTAGATTCAGAGATTTCCGGCGAGAACGTAGCCCCGAGTCGAATTGAGAACCGCGGCAGCCGCGGTAAATCGCCGGTAAGGTCACGCTTTTACGTGTAAGCCCTAAGCGAAATCTAGTTTTTGTTTATTCATTAGGCTACCCCGCGCTTTAAGTGGTACGTGAAGGAAGGCCTCGCCGCAGCGGCGACGTCGAGGGGGGAAAGAAACGGGAGAACCGCGGGAGGGGTGGACCGACCGGCCGGCCGCCGTATCACCGATACGCCACCAGCCATAAAAATCTGAATATATTAGGCCTACATGCGCACGACATCTCGCTCGGATCGTGAACACGTTACCCGCGATAATCTACGCTCGTTTCCAGCACACTTTGCACGTTTATGCGTATACCAGAGGCGACTACCGTGCGAACGGGTTACCCTCTCGTCGCCATCGCGTCCCGGCGCTTCTTAATTCCCCGCCGTTGCCCTCGAATCGAAATTGTCCTGGATCAATCAAGGAACACTCTGCCGATCGCGATTTACCGCCGTGCCATTCTCGGACCCGGCGGAAGAATGGAAACATTCAGCGAGTAAGATCGCGGAGTGATCTTCGTGAGAAAAGTTCGGCCACCTATATTTCTTCAACAATCTCATTTTAGAAATTATATATGTATAATCAGGAAGGTTGATTTTTTATTCGAGCGTACGTGCGCTTTATCTACAATATTCAAGGTTAACATTGACGTACTTGAGCGACGTTCGTTTCATCTTTCGTAAATCACGTCGAACGGGGATTATCTTGTTCGTCGATGGGCGCCGAACTCTCAGGTTTCAGATTTTTCGAGCTTCCGCCCGCCGAGCGGCCGAACGGATAAAGCTTTCGAGAGCCGCGGTGAAGAAAAATCGGCGAGAGGCGCGGGTGGAGGCAGAGGGGAGAGGGAGCGAGAGAGAGAGAGACCAAGGGGGCAGGCGGGTAATTAGAATAATTCGGGCCGCTGTGGTTCACGCCATCCGGACGAATTTGCATTTTAAATGAAGCGATGGCGTGCCAAGGGCCCCACCGTGCAAGAGAGAGGAGGAGAGCGAGAGGGAGCGAGAGAGCGAACGAGAGCGGTACAACTTTGTGCTTTATAAGGAACTTTAATATTTATCGCTTATATCCCGACCGAATAAGTATATGTATATATCCGCCCTTTCCTTCCTCGCGGCCGCCGCCGCCGCAGTCACGGGGGGTTCGCTCATGCTCATGCTCAGGCACACACAGCCCCCGCGAACTTCCTTCTCGGTTCTCTCCTCCGTCTCGCGGCCCCCGCGCGGCCCCCACCGCCCTGTTGGATCATTATCGCGTAATTAGCGCCGCTGATTTTCGTGTCGCGTCATCGCGCACGCACGCACACGCTACGATGATTTCAGCTTTAATCTGTTCCGCGCGACACTCCGCGAGGATTCCGTCGTCGATTCCGTCGGCGCGATAAGATACCCCTTTCTTTCTCCTTTCGTATTTTCAAGCCCCCCGAGTACGAGATAATCTGTCGTCGAATGTGTCGGTGCTGCAGCATTTTCTAAACCCACCTGAGTAATATTCATTTCGAAGTATACAAGCGCGAGAGAACTCGTTAGCGGACGATCGGGAAATGTCTCACCGTTTGATTCGCTACTTTATTAGCTTCTTTCCCAGAAATGATTCGTCGAAACAATGTCGAATCGACAACGACACTGTCAAATTCGACGTCGATTCGACATTAATTTGACGGTGCACCGAGAAAAATTTCCATCGGCTAAACCGATTAAATAGTGTGTCCGATGGTTAATTTTTCCGATTACGTTTTCCGATTATATTTCGATGAAATGCAGTTACCGATGAAATTTGGTTGAAAAACCGATCATATTTTTCATCGGCTATAAAATTTAATTGAATATATCCGTTTTTTATTATGTAATTGAATTATCCGATTATATTTAATCGGACATTTTTCTCAGTGTGTCGATGTCGATTCGACACAGTTTCGACATAGATTGTTTTGTCTAATTGTAAGCTAAGAGATCAAAGCTCAGACACATACAACAGAAACAAGTCGGATCGCGAAAATCACGTAGAAGACGATGCAAAACGAAATTCTTTTCTTATGATATAATGTCTGGAATTTCCCATGCGAGAGATCGCGGAAAACACGTCGCTGACACACGTGCGCCGCGCGAGCGCGGAAACGCCCTCGGGAATTTAAATATATTTAGGTCAGATTTTTTATTATCATCAGCGCCTCGATGAAGAAAAGACAATTTTCGCTTGCAGGAACGCAAGCTTTCCGTTGATACGCATAGGCCGCAATAAGAATGAAGCGCCGGCGTGTAACGAGATGCGTACGACCGTGGAAGAAAGAAGAAACAGTTTAAAAAGATAGAAATAATTGAGTGTCCGCAAGAATCGTTAATCCACCAGCCAGCCGTGGACTCTACGTAGACAACGTTGATCGCGGATGCCAACGTACATTACGGCGAAGGGTGAGTTTTTCTCGAGATGCAAATACACACGGCGTATCGACGTTTATGAAAGTCGACGTCGAGATACCGCCGGGCGTAACGCGATAGGCACCGAGCGAATAATGAGACGCGAGGCGGATCGGTCTAATTAGGGGGCAAAGAAACCCGCCGGATAATTTATTTATCCAACCGGGATGTACACGGCCGCAATTACACGCGGAAACGTCCGTCACGGCGCAAGAGGAAAAGGGGAGCGCAGCCCCCGTACGTACCTGTTGATTTTTTACGATATCGGTCCGTGATACTCCTCAGCTTCCGAGTGGCATTCGATCTCCTCGAGGACCTCCCCCGCAACTGGGCCCCGCGTCGAAGGTGCCCCACGCTTCTCGCTCCACCCCGAGCCTCGCCTCGGTTCAGTTCACCGGCATTGCACGTCCGTCGTCGCGTTGCCGCGCCTCGAGTCCTGACGAAACGTCGCCGTCCTGACGTGTCGTCGCGCGCTCGTCTCGCGCCGGAAGTGACTCCGCTTTCACGGCAATGAGACGTAGATGCGACACGAAAGCCGGAAAGACGGATAGAAAGAGAGACAGAGAGGAAGCAGGGAGAGAGGTTGACTGTATAATGGTACACCTACGAGGACACGTCAGATGATGGGAAGGTTTCTCTCAACAACCACCTTTCGCCGTGTGAACCGATGATCCGCTCTTTATCTCGGCGCTTCCTTCCGTGCGACGTCCCCCTATTTTTATTCCGCTCCGGTAGCCGCGCAACGTACAGTCTACCGTCCTCGATGAAATCGCGAGGTGGATGTTCCTCCTTTACTTGGAGAACGCACGCATTCCTTGGGCCCTTTAAAGGTCCGATCAATCATCGAGATCACGGCTTAACCATCCCGGCAGCCGGATTACACTCGTAACCGATCGCACAGAAGCAACATCCCAATGTCGAGTCTTGTCGATCAATCGTCCTTCGGTTGCAACGTCTTCGCGGAGGAATCTTCGTAACAATGTTCTCGCTGATCCACTTCCACTTACAATTAGATGGACTCACTGGTAATCACGCGCTCAGCTTCCGGCGCTTTGGGAAGAGCCGCCGTCGTATAATCGCAGTCCCGCGACTGATTCCTCGGCTGTCTCCTCCTCTTCTCGGCAGGCCGGTGCTCATCACCTCGTATCCGTGGCGCGGAGCACGTGTAGCTACTCCTGGTAGCCGGCGGAGTGCCAGGTCCGCGCGACGCGAGGGCAAACTCGCGGTGGAGACCGCAAACTGCGGTCGGCCGCTCAGCGAACGCGCTCGAGGAGAAGGACGAGGAGCGTCGACGAAGCGGAGGCGAGAGGGAGGACGCGGCACAAGCACAGGTACCAGCGAGCAGAACGTGGCAAGGGCGCGAGAGCGCGGCGCGAGATACACGCGCGCGCGCGAAAGAGATAGAGGGAAAGAGATGGGGAGAAAGACGGAGCGCGCGGAGGAAGCGAGAGAGAAAAGAGAGGCGGTCAGGACAGGATGATGTGGACCACGCGGAGGACACGGCGTGTCTGAAGTGGGCTCGGCCCGCAAACGGGGGTTACGGGCTTTGCTTTCGGTCAGGTCCCCCGTACCCTCTGCCACCGCCCATGTCTACTCCTGGCTCGGTCGTACGCGTCGTGTGTGTACGCCGGAGCGAGGAAAAGAGAGACGGAGAGCAAGAGAGACAGAGAGAGAGAGAGAATGCACGAAAGCGAGAAACGGATCGAGAGGGAGAGAACGAGAATGAGAAGGGGGAGGAGGGGGAGAGAAGGTGACGGTAGCGTGTCGTCGCGTGCTGGATGTTGTATCGGGCAGGCCCGCGTGGCCCGTGGCTCGTGGCCCGTGGCCCGGGTTGTGCCCACGGCGAAACGCGGCCCGTGGCCCCTGCCGCGCCGGGAGACAGAGAGAGAGAGAGAGAGAGAAAGGCCGCAAGATTGGAGGGGTTGACTCGGCCAAGGAGAGCAAGGGAGAGAGAAAGCCCGGGGGTGGGCGGGCAGAACGCGTTCTCCCTCGTACTACCACTTTGCCTTGCCTCCTCGTCGAGGCTCCTCCGAAGGGCTCGTCGAGGCTCCTACTCCTTCTTCCTCTCTTTCTCTCTCGTCCTCTTCGCTTTTCTCTCGCTCCCCCGCGCGCTCGTGTGCGCGCGCACGCGTGCGCGCGCACGCACGCACGCTCGTGCGCGAGGGTAGTCGGGATAGTCGCTCTTTCTCCGGGAGGTTGGTTCCGTGACGTCCCCCTCTGCCGCGTATCGTACATGTAATTAAAGGGTTTCCACGCGGGGCCCGCCGCGGCGGCGTATTTCGTAGGACCCGCACGAGATCCTCCAACTATGGTCGAACGATAGCTTTCCGAAGAGTCGAAGGGAGTATCGATTACGCGTTAAAAAAAAAAAAACGCTCCCGCGAAAGAATTGACCGCGAGCGTCTCTTGAGAATATTGTGCTCCGTACACAATGAATTTTTCTTTATTTCAGCACGCTCGCTATCGCTCGTTCTTCATTTCGAATCAGCCGCCCGTTTTGCATCGCTGCTATATATGCAATTCGCGCGAGCTTCGAGCCTTTATGCGTGACAATTACGTCTTTACAACACGCCGCGTGTTATGTCGAAAGTTTTTCAACGCTGCGAAACTTTTCCACTGTGACGCGCACGCGAGCGCAAGCACGATTTCTGCGCTTCGCACAGCTAGCCTTGGCTAGTGCGCTAAGTTTGAGCTAAATAATTTATTTATTTATAAAGCAGATCCCATCGGACACGTTACCTAATGTTTCTTTTCTGTGTATCAGCAGAAATATTGAAAATTTAGAAATTAATAATATCAGTACAAAAATCTATAAAACAAAATTTACGAAGAATTAATAAGAAGAGAGAGAGAGAGAGAGAGAGAGAGAGAGAGAGAGAGAGAGAGAGAGAGAGAGAGAGAGAGAGAGCAAATTGATATAAAAATTATTCGAGATATCAATTTTACGCTTAAATTATCCACTTATTGTCAGTGGCAAGTAGAGAACATCTGTGTTAGTTAAAAAAATTATTCATTAATATACAAACTACAATATACATGACTGATTTGAGGGTCCACATTTTCCGCAGGATGTCATAGTTCTTAAAATAGTCTTCTTTCTTTCTCAGAATCTTCGTAGAAATACAAAATTTGACTTGTTCGAAAATTTCAGAAACAGAAATACATTTGGTAACACTTGAAAAAATTATCCTTCCATATATGTATATTAATAAAATTAGAAGTTTCACTAATAATATTAAGAGTTGCGACAAGAATTTATTTAACGCTTAATTAATATTCTCAAATAGAAACTTTTGATTATCGTAGGAACTTTGACGATTAAACGTGCTATTATAATAATCATTCTAATAAGGAACTTGCATATATGAATAATGATACTCCAATCGTTGAGTTGTTATATTAACATATATTATGAATCTGGAATATCATATTGAAATGCAGTGTTGGTGAGTTATTTTTCTTTTTAACTAAGTTAAGTTAAAGTTAACAGCCTTGAATCAATCCATAATACAATTAATTGAATTAAAAGTTAAGTTAATGATAAAAAGAAATTAAAAAGTTAAAAGTTACGTTTGTTTTATTTTCACATAAAATCTCAGAGATCTACGATCACGTAAATCGCGTTGAATCTCGCGACTAGCGTTAGAACAATCACTTCACGGAATATGGCCCATTTCATATGCAAACAATTTCACGTGAGTTCGAGAATCAAAACCCCATATAATGGCTGTGTTCCAAAATTCATTACCAGCGCTGAAGATCTATAGTACACGTAATACTGTAGATTTTAGAGCTGGCAGTGAATTTTGTTCATGGCATAGCTAACTAAGGCCCGGTTTCTCATTTTCTGGTTAGTTGATTCTCTATCTTTCTTTATATTATTATCTAAACAGAGACAGAGTCTAAAGCCAACGGCACACGATACTACTTTTCCTACTGGATTGCTTACGAGAACCAATAAGGATTCACAGTTTTGGATCAGACGACTTAAAGCTAAATCCTGATTGGCTCTCGTAAGCGATCCGGTAGGAAAAATAGTATCGTGTGCCGTTGGCGTAAGTTTTACTCGCTTAATGTAAGGGTGACGTTCAATGTCAATAGGACACGAGACGGACGGCCGCGTTTAGCGCTAAATGTATGGCGCGAACCATGGACCTTTGTCTCGCGTTTGCTAAACACGCGAGATGTTTATAAGGCGAGGTTGTGTAATACTCGCAACACCGTTTGAAGAAGAGACGTAATCGGCTGGATGTGCCCGGACACGCAAGAATCCGTACAATCGATAGTCCATTCCTCGGCGAATTCCACGAAGATCGAAGTACGAAGATCGCCTCGCGAGGCTTCTGGCACGGACGCAATTTGACTCAGTCCTTGGCTGAGTTCTTACGCAAGAGGCGTATCGTTTTCTCGACAATTATATACCCAGGACCCCTTGTCTCGTGCGAGCCGGCATCGCCGTCTTTAAAACGATCTCCTCCACGGGCGATCCGCGAAATGCCAGGTTCGACATACCGTGGTCTCGGAGTCTTCATCGATCACGAAGGACGCGAAGGTCGGATAGACTGTATACATCCCGCACGATTCGAAAGGTTTCGTCCCGCCGAGAAATGGTAATTTGCAGGTATACTCGCGCGAACATTAGCTCGCTCGGCTTTCGCGTGCCTCCTCGCTGATCATCATCTCGTCCTCTTGCTCTCGTTTCGCTCTCCCGCCTGTTCTACATCACGTTCGCACAACGGAAACATATTTCGAGAATCGGGCAGCAGCACTCGTATAGAAATAAGCTCTCGAGTACACACATACGAGTGTCTATGTATCTTAACGGGGAGTCAATTTTCTCGTTGACAAGATGAGTTAGCGCGTCGCAGGTTTCCTGGTGGTTAATGTACGTGCACGGAGTGTCGAATGACAAATAAACACGAGGGTAACTCCGCTGTACCCGGTTCGTGTAACGACCCCCCGTGGAGTGATTGTAGGACCCCTTGACTCCTGGCACCCTTGTATCCTCGTCCCTCCCGTTGTCGGCGCAGGTTGCGCTCTTTCACGGATCATCGCCCGTTAACCAACGTGTTTCCGACTCGTTGCGGTCGGTCCAAATGTTACATGCCGCTGAATCTCTCAAGCACCTTTGTCCACTTTTCCCTCCTTCAAGTCTCCCGTAACGAGGAGAACGAAATCGATCCCGCTAAAGTTAGAGTCGACGGATAACAGGGTACCTGTCCCAAGGTTCATTCCGAACTGGACATTAAGAACGCATTAATCCTTTCGCGCACGTCAATCGTTTTGTCTTCGTGCTTGGTCGTTTATTTGCTCGAGCCGCGCGAAAGTCGTTAAAAAACGGAAAGAGAACGAATTTGGGCGATTATTACCTAGATATCCGTGCGCGTACACCTCGGAACGGAAACTAAGATACGAAATTACGTTACCGCATTTCCTTATCAGATTCGACGTAATAGCGACGGGACGACCCCTAACAAGGCAAAGATCAGATCATTACGTCAAATTAATTTATGGCCGCTGCGCGGAATACTCCAAGGAAGCTAGACCGAAGTGTGTCCTGTGTGTCCAGGACAGGTGAGGCGATTTTCAACCCTCGGTGCCATCCCCTTCGCGTCCGCCCGGGCTTATCTGACGAACTTCGGTTTTCGCTGACGGCGTATTCCCCCGAGGGCCCGATAATTTTCGCCGTTATAATTAGACAATAATGGGAAAGGATGCCATTAAGATTTCTGCCCGGTGTCCTCTCGTTAACAGAGTCGTCTAAGATTCCGGCACAATTGTTGTCTGGTTAATTTACTCATATAATATTTTGTTGAAAACAACGTAGGCGGAGGTGCTTGCGTGTAGAAAAGATTGCCGTTTCCCATTCTTGTTGGTTTTCTCGATGATGATCTCGCCTAAAATATGCAGCTGCCGCCTGTCGATCCATCACAGATATTAGGAACGCGTTCCTTCCCTTTTCGTTCGCCTAGAAATCGTCTTTTTGCCGCGGCTATAACGCCGCAGATTTCACGGCGGCGGCACCTCGATCAAATATTAATCTCATGGATGAAATTGTAATTTATGGAGAGACGACGGAGGATAAGGAATCTACGAAAAAAGAGTGTGCAAGGTGCACCCACCATTTCTATAAGGCTATTAGGACGGAGGCAGGTAGGCCGGCCGACGTATTTCCCTGCTCTATCTCTTCGAGGGCGCGAAGAAATGTTCAAGCCCGACAGATCTCCCGTGCCCCCGGACGCTAATGATTTTTCCGCAAAGTCATTTTTTCCAGACACCGCCCGCGTCCCCGTATCGTCCTTTCGGGCGAAGCCAAGTGAAATTATCATTGGCGAATAGCGTGCCATTTTTCGCCGATAGCGCGCATTATGTGCGAGTGAACGGATATAGCTGGCGGCTGGATTAAACTGTTACGTTCGCCCTCTTCCACTTACTTACCCCGTCCGTCAGATATCGAGCTTCGAATTCCGGTCAAAGCTACCCTGAGGCAGCGTCGATTCCCAGAGTCGTAGGATCGATGACCAACGTACACCACCACCCTCCCCGTCCGTTGCCCGCCGACCCGCTGGCCGCCCCATCCGGAGTCCGGGTCTCTTAACGACGATGATAATATCGCGCGGTCTGAGTGGCCCGATGACACCCGCGCTGATA